TGCGCCCACTTCTCAAGACCATCTCATTTACGTGATTAATTATGACCATCAGTAAGAGAGACCCGACCTGGTAGTTAATCAGATTTAATGGTGTCTTCAGCTGCAATTACTGGTGTTAAGTTTTGTTTCAATGCGCAGCCAACAGAGTGAATCATGCTGGAGCTCACAGAAAGAAGTGATTAATCTGCTAATATTATGTGCTGAAAAGCTGATACTCATATTTATCTATTAAATGAATGTATGTAAGTTTGAAGGTTGAATTGTATATACTCTACTCAAGGTTTGTACTAATTTGTACTAATACTAATAGTCTGTACAAGGTTGGTACTTTCTGAAATATGTTTTCCATCTCAGACAGCTAAAAATGTAAAACTTAGAAATGACAGTTAATTATTAATTGAGTCATTCATTGCAAATTAATTTTGATTTGTAGGTACAAATCAAAAATACAGAAAGTCTTGCACTGAAAGCTTTGCAAGAAAAATCACAGCACATCTGCAATAAAGTGATGCTTGGGCTCCAGTTAGAGGAGTTGCAGCAGTGCTTGAAAGTTAGTGAACCCTTTAAAAGTTTGAATATTTCTGCATATTTATTTAATTAAAACTCAGTAGATCTTTGCACAGTTGAATGAGGTAAATGAAGAACATGATATGTGTTTATCAGACTTCTGATACCGACTGTCCACATGTCCTAACAGATGTGTAAAACTGGATCTTTCAATTAAAAAATAAATGACGTCTAATATTTTTGTCACATTTTATTATTTTGACTTATTAAGGAGCCAAATCACAACAACAACCACCTAAAGGTGCATTATATTATAAAGGAAAAGACCCTATAATCGATTAAAAAAAAAACAACAACAATCAGACGACCTCCTTTAAGCAAACACTTAGCTAAAGTGGGAAGAAAAACTCCCTTTTTTGTTGTTTTTTCCCTGTAGAACCCAGAACAACTGGTGTGTTTTTTTAAGATATATTATATATTATAAGAACCACTGCACAGAAATGTGTATAAAACACGCAACTGTGTTAAACAGTTTTCATGTGACCACCACTTTGATGAAAAGCTTTACATCCCAAACATCTCCTGTAGTGACTCACTCATGTACCTTTGTAAAATAAAATAATCTGTTTCTATCAAATCACATGAAAGCTCTTTGAGAGAAGTGATCTATCTTCATGCCACAAAAGCGTTCTTAAGCTGCAAACTCGTTAATTCCAGTGTTGGCATTCCGTGTTTATCAATCACAATAAGAGTCTTATTGCAGAAAAAAAGGAAAACTAGAAATCTAGATTTCCATTTCTAATATATGACTGCTTAATCTGCCTAAAGTATCTCCTAAAAAATAAATAAACAAAAAGTTAGTGCTCTCCCAGACATCCATTGCTGCAGCTGGCAGGTGATACTGATGTTAGACCGGTCCTAAGGTGGCCTCTAGAGGTCACTGGAGCTTATTGCAATAGACAACGCATGCATGCAGAGTTGCCATTAGTTTTAGCTAATGAGTTTAAGAACTCTCTCTGCACACACTGATTGTGCTCTAGTGTTCTATGTTCATGTTTTCTTGTTGCTGACTGAGAGTAGTATTTCATTCAACTGTACGCTTGTAGATGTATCCACTGCTGTTTCTATAATTTTCTCCACCCCACACTGTATGTATCAATTAGGGCAACTAATAGCTAATAATAAACTGCTAACTGGGTGTATGATTTAGTACGGAAAAGTACAAGAGAGACAAATTTGGAGAATGAACAGCAAGAGCCAAAACTGGATGAGTTAAATCTACCTCCTGCAGTGTTTTACACACACACACACACACACACACACACACACACACACACACACACACACACACACACACACCCTATGAATCTCTTTTTCCTGATCCTTAGTCGTCACCCTAAAATCTAAAATTAAAAGAGTCCCCACAATGTGACTAAACAGAAAGATGAGTGTCACACACAGAAGCACACACACACGAGCTGTGCCGTCCGTATGGATGCACTGTAGTAAGCAGCATGCCAAATCTGCTTTTGGAGAGATTTGCCGGCAGATGCTTTGTAAAAGCTCAGATGACCACTTAGCATTGCTCTCATAACCTCCACTTGAGATTTTAACTTTATGCCATTATAACTGACAGCTCAGCCAAAGTAGTCCATGGATGTAAGAGCTGAAGTTCAAATTGAAGTTCATTGTGCTTTTCAGTTCGACGTGAGCTGACGCACTTGAACGCCACCAGGGTCTCACTGTGAGTTGCATAAGCTGTCATTTTGTGAAGCATTACAGCTCACTTGTTGTATTTTTCCATTGGTTTCTAATTTAATTAACACATAATTGAAAAACACATCTAATACTTGTTGGAAAATACTTCACAAATCACAGCTAAGTCAACTTCTTATATTTTTCAAAAATGCAAACACTCAATTTTTCTTTTGTTACTTTAGCAGGTTTCATTTTTTCACTTTCACGTTTTACATTTGGTACACTTTGTACCCATTTTTGTGATCTTTGGGGCCCATGAACTGAGTGTCACAGGGACCCTTAATAGCTTGGACATGTTTTAAACATACATGACAAAGCAATGAAAACGTACATGTTATGTTTTGCATTAGCCCTCATGCTACATGTACAAATGACCACTGATAGAAGGGGATCACACTCTAAAACATCATAAATAAATCATAAATATAAAATAATAATAAATAACAACAAATGTAATAAATAAAGATTATTTTATTGTTGTAAATAAAATGCAGAGGACATGCAGAGGGTTGGTGAGATAGAGGAGGATGCTAGGGACAGAGTGAGATGGAGGCAGATGATCCACTGTGGTGATGCCTAAAGGGAGAAGCCAAAAGAAGAACATCATATAGAAGCACCTTTTGCATTTATTGCATGTGTTGAATGCCACATGTTTGACATACATTGTGTTATCCGATGACGGAGGTCATTTAAGTATAGTGAACTCTGCCACATTCAAGAAATGACGAGTGGGTATTACATCAACAAGGCAATTTGCCCCAGAGCACTGAACTCACTGGATATTTTCTCTTTGTTGGATCATTCTCTGTAAACTCTAGAAATGGTTGTGTGGGAAAATCCAAAAATCCCAATACGTCAGCACCAACAACCATACCACATTCCAAGTCACTAACATCACCTTTCTTCCTCATTCCAATGCTCAGTTTGAATTTCATCAGGTCGCCTCGACCATCTCTGCATGCCTAAACCTATTGAGTTGATGCCATGTGATTGGCTGATTAAATATTGTGTTAATGAGAAGCTGAAACGGTGTGCCTAATAAAGAGGCCAGTGAGCATACACTGTCCAGTTTGTTCCAGCCTGACGTTGATATTAGGTAACAGCTATAGCGTTCCTACTGGCAACAAGAGGTCAACCTGATGTGACAAACATCATCATATTTACATTCATTTTACATAATGTGCTCTTTAATACCACATAGTGCACACATGCAGTGATATGTAATCCACAAAAAGTCCAAGCCTTAAGACATCTAAAGTAATAAAACCCTCTGGTGTTCTTCACCTCTGATATTCATCTTTAGCCAAGAATTTGTTTTATATCTTGTTTTTAATATTTATGGTTTCAAATAGTGCATGCTCTATTTCCAGGCCAAGTTAAAATATTTAGATTCTTGTTTATCCACATGAGAAAGGTATGTCTGTTTCCGTTTCTTCCTTTGAATGTCTTTAATGTATTCTCTTCCCTTTTTTTCTCTCTCCATCACCCTGTCCTCTTTAATCTGAAAGGGCATGGATTAATCCCGCTCCGTTCGTGTCCTCTTAATTCTCCCTTTAAAACTCTTCACACTGTAGATGAAGTCATTTGAATGCTCGTGCAACATGTTGACATGAGGCAGAGAGAGAGAAAGGGGGGAGGGAAGACCGAGTGACAGAGAGGAATGAGGGGGGATTAAAAGCACCGCGTGAAGAGCCGAGAGTGATGCTGTTTCTGTGGAGTGACACATAAGCGAGCTGTGTTCAGTGCGCTCCACTTCTGCTCAGTCATCCAGTTTGTTTTTGTTTTGGGAAGATCATTTGGTAACGTGTTCAGTTTGGTTTGGGTCAGTGGAGATGACCATGAATGGATGAGGGCTGTTCCTCTTTTTCCATCTCTGTTTTGTCCAATATGACGACTATTAACCAGAGTGGGCGACTCAGAGGGATTTTTTAGCTTGTGAGCTTGAACTTGACTTTAGAAGTCCACAGAAGAAGAGCGCAGGGAAATAGGAACATAGAAAAGTGACAGGGGAGGTCTGGTAATGGGGAACAAACCATCTCTGAACGATAAAATGAAGAAGGTAAGTGTGCTTTATCTCCCCTTTGTTAGATTCGAACTCACTGCAGCTTAATCCTCTTGCTTGCACTCGCTGACTGAAGCTTTTTGCCTCTGTGACAACCGCAGCTTTCTTTGGATGTTGTCTCACTGTATCATTTTAACGATTGCATGTAAATTAAGAAAACAGGAAAAAATATATTGTTGAAACTCTAACGCTTTCCTTTTTTTTTCCACCAGTGAAACTGTTTCCTTTTATGGTAGTTACAGGAAAGCTTAGTATACAGACTGCATCACTTAAAGTGCTATTTAAGGACACACTGTTTGTGTGCAGAAAATCGAAACGTGCAAATTAAAGAGATCAAAATAATAGATTAAAGTAAGACTAGATTAAAATTTTAAAAGATATAAATTAATTTTACAAAAATGTATATTCTTTGTATTTGGATCTGTATTTATTTGTCCTTTTTATTTACTGTCCACACTTGTTTTAAAAAATAAGTTTTTGTTCATTTATTCCTTATTTTTTAATTATCCCCCATTTAATAATTAACATTAATTTGTCATACTTTTTTCAAGATTATTTATGCATTTTAAAGGATAAATAAAATACAAATATCCATATATATATATATATATATATATATATATAATATATATATATATATATATATATATATGATATGAGCTTATCAATGCTTGCATTTATTTTAATAGTGATTTTAGATGCATGATATGATTGCCATATTTATTTATTTAGCTTTTTTTTACTGTTACTTGTAATGTTCACTGCTTCCTACTATTGTAGTCGTGTTACTTACTGACGTGTAGTTAAGCTGTCAGTCTTTACACTGGAGAAATAGCAAACTCACATCAGCTAGTGTCAGCAGCTTGAAGCTGCAGCAGCAGGATTGAGACTTATAGATTATTTTCAAGTCAAACTGGTTTCTCACAGTGAGGACTGAGGCTGATGAGGGCCTCCTGCAATAATGAGCAGCTGTATCTATCCTATAGTTCTGGCTTATTGCCTTTCCAACGTTTGACTGTAGAAAAGCAGGGGTCTTACTTTGCCTCTGAAAAGATATTGACTTGCTTGATCAGTCGCACATTTGGTGTGACGGACAGTAAGTTTGGTGGTTTAACACCCTGATCTGCTTCCAAAGCGGGTGATACACTGGCGCTTCCATCGTAAGGTGAGGGCAATGAGCCAGCAGCTGGAGGGAGATGAGGATTTGGATGTAGAGGATAAACCGTTCAAGGAGTCCCTCGGTGCGCTGGTGAAGAACTGCAACATGCTGCACAACATCGTGGGCCCGGCCTGCATCTTCCTTAAACAGGGCTTTGCTAGGACGCTCGTATGTAACAGGAAGTCACAGAAGTGTGCACACTGTGTCTACCACAGCCAAAGTGCAACTTTTTCCACTTGTGTCGATTCATTTTCATCCCCACATCGTGGCTGACCCTCCTGCTCTTTACCAGCTGTGTCATCCCCCCCTGCATTAGTGGCTCGGGTCAGACAATTAAAATCCCCAGGCAACGGGCAAGCTTAAAGGGGTCAATCACTGAGAGATCATTGGAAAATCATTGACTGGCCTTGTGGAGCTTGTACGTGCCCTTGGTAAAGAAAGGATGCAGGCCTTTGTGTGAACTGTGAAACAATCACACTGATGACCTGTGGCCTTTGCTTCACTTCATATAGGTGAAGACAAAAATAAAATAAAATAATGGTCTAAACCTTTTCAGTGGATGTTTTTTTAATTGGATTAGGAGAAATAATAGACTGCCCAAACAGGGACAACTTAGAAAACTTCACATCAAAGTGGAAGTGCAACACTTCTGGGAACGCTTGGGGATTCTTGCTGGAAGGAATGCTAGCCACAACGTTGCTTTGCTCTACTTTTATTGTCAGGATTTCTTTTACTGTGTGAAAATGAGAATTTGATCAAAACAAATACAATCAAATAATAATTCGGGTTACACACACAAGCTTGAGTAATGTATATATTTAGTGTACGGACACATACATCCGGACAGTGGACATGTTCCTAAAACTAAACCTCTGACATGTTCTAGTCTCTAGATGTTTTCAGCCTGGCATCCTCCAAAAAGTAATCTGGGTACTCACTGTAATCTATGGTGCAGGAATCCCTGCATACAATAATCAGATATACGGTTTAATCCATGTAGATGCCCTGGAGCTTTCTATCTAATGCAGCTTAGGGATCATTTTCAGCATTTCATTGATGTGCAACACCCTGGAGTTAAAAGAACATAAATATCATTGTGATTCATAGTTCTCAAAAAATGAATCTTTGTCCAAAAACATTGGCCAGACGTCAAGACGCTAATTATACATAACAAAAAATATTTAACATTTCCTCTCATTATTCATCTTTTCTGTTTTGTTTCGCTTGGTGCTTCTGTTTTTCATCTGTGCTCTGTCTAGCATCACGTGTTAAGTGACACAAGCTGTACGTCTGTGTGCTTAGATTGTGCTCCTTAATGCCTGCGTCTACTTTTTATTGTCTTATTGCCAAACAAACATTGTGAATATTTTCAGTATGAATGTTTGCAAGGCGAGGGGAAATCTATAACTGTGTGAAACATGAAGCTAATATGTGAAAACTTTCCCCACGGCAGGACAGAGAGCTGCGGCCAGAGGAGATCGAAGGTGAGGTGATTTATCCGCTTTTTTTTAGCTGTACATGCATTTGATATGATACCCGCCTTACCAGTAATAACACGTGTTTTGCGTGTGTGTGTGTGTGTGTCTTACCAGAGCTCCGTGAGGCATTTGTGGAATTTGATAAGAATAAAGATGGCTACATCAGTCACAAAGACCTGGGCGAGTGTATGAGGACTATGGGATACATGCCCACAGAGATGGAGCTCATTGAACTGAGCCAGCAGATCTGTGAGTGCAGCAACAGCCTAAAATACACGAGACAGCAGAACAGAGTGGAAATAGATGGCAACTGTGTGTGTGTGTGTGTGTGTGTGTGTGTGTGTGTGTGTGTGTGTGTGTGTGTGTGTGTGTGTGTGTGTGTTTCAGGTGGCGGTAAAGTGGACTTTGAGGACTTTGTAGAGCTGATGGGACCCAAGATGCTGGCAGAGACAGCTGACATGATCGGAGTCAAAGAATTGCGAGACGCATTCAAAGAGGTCAAGAGACATGCTGTCATTTACAACATAAAGACCTAAACATAAATTTAATTGCAGTGACTTTATTAACAGCAGAATTGGATTGTAGCATGTGACTTTGCTGCTATGCAAATATCAGTTGTGGGGGAGGCCTGTAAATCAGAATCCATTGGGAACGATAAACAAATAAGACTAAGCATAACCCTTCAAATATAAAAGAAGAAATAGAAGCGCGCAGGGAGTTTCTGGAATGAAACTTGGATAAAAATAATAATTTATTACTGTGCAGTTTGTTTATGGAACAAGTCAAGCTCATTTCTCCTTTGCAGATCTTCATTATGGGTTCAAATAAACAAGCCGATCTTTGTAACCATAAGTGGGAGGTAGGCTTTTTTCACAGCAGATATTGTGACATTTCATAGCAGAAAAATCACAGGTATGCATAGTTTAATGATGGCTGGATTCACTCAGGTTAGACCGTTTCAGGATCCTGGCATTGTGCATGCTCACTCAGTGGAATAGCAAACAGAGCCACTTCATTTTTTTTTTTTTACCTTTGAATAGTATACTGTATGTTAATGTGCATCAATTTACCAGATACATTAGATGTCAGCATGTCAGTTCATAGCAAAAATATTAAACTTCACCTTATGTCCCAGGGCAGGTCATATAAAACATAAAACAATAAGCAAAAACATACAGATACACAACACAAACCAACAAAAACAAACACATCAGTGTTTAATGACACCTCCATTTTTCCTGCTATAGCAGGCCAAACAGGCCCGAAATACTAAAATATATTCACATATAAAGAAACGAGAGCTATGAAGGTTAGGTTACAGCAAATGAATCCAAAAAGAAACACAGTAAGTGCAAAACAAACGTCTGAGAGGAAAGAAACCTTCACTGTTTTTAGTTGTCATTTGACCTTTCAGGGCAGTTTTCTCATCATGTTAGTGGCCGACAAACCTACAACAATGCATGATGAATATTTCTGTTAAAAATGAAGATTTCCCAGATTATAAAACTTTAATATTTTCTGTTATTAAAGTCACAAATGCATGAGCAAAACACAATAAATATAATAAGTAAATAATTGAAGAATATTCATAATTGTGCTTAAAAGGACTGTTTCTTTCTGTCTGTATCCAGTTTGACTCTAATGGTGATGGCCAGATCAGTTTAACGGAGCTGCGTGAGGCCATGAAGAAGCTGATGGGAGAACAAGTGACTAACAGAGAGATCAACGAGATCCTCAAAGACGCTGACCTGAACGGAGATGGCCTGGTGGACTTTGAAGGTGTGGGAAGGCCTTGATGGGATCAGTTGACTGATCGTGTTTATCCTCCTCTGTTTCTCTCTCACTTCTTTTCTCGTCTCTTTCAGAGTTTGTGCGAATGATGTCCCGCTGACCAGTCCACGTGTCAGACAGACATTACGCAACTGCCTGGCTAAGCATCACACTACTCTGTAGTGGACATCTTTCATTTGCTCTTAAGAGCATGCATCTCAAATTATATTTTTGTATTAAAAAGTAATGAAACAAAAAAAAACTGTTGTAGCTAACAAAGACTGCACATGTACGAATTTAAAGGTATGTACAGTAGATAAATATGTCAAACATATCAGCAGCTTCACATTTACCATTTTCAGTTTTTTAGATGTATTTTTATATGAGTGTTTGTTCTTCGAGTGTAAAAGCTTGTTTGTAAAATCATAGACCTGTTTTTAATTAATAAAACACATATAAAATGGACAAATTGTTCAATTATTATGACCTGATACATAATTAAAGACTCAGACTAGTTTGATGGACAATGAAGTACTAGAAGGACCAACTGCTACACATAAGGAGGATGACATGGATATAATATATTTTTAAACTGATCAACTTTTCTATATTTGTATTCATTAGTAATCTACATAACCAATCTTTAAGGAAATTAAGGTAATAAACAAAGATACACTGAGCTCTAAAATCTGCCGTGCTGTAAAGCATTTGGATTGCGGCTGATGGCAGCTATTACATGTTGTTTATGCCAAATTCTGATCATTCAAATGTTTCAGTAGACTCATCACACAGCTGACAGGTGTGGCACCTGGTGTGGTCTTCTGTTGCTGATGGCTGATTGCCCAGATATGCTCTCCTGTTGTCCTCAGGTCAAAAATGACCCGTAGGCGAATGGCAAACAAGTATATGGGAATCCCGAGGACAACACAAGGGTTAAGCGAGTTACTGTTGTCTTTCCTTCTAACCCGAAGCACTCTGGTCAGCCTCCTCTGACCTCTGGCATCAACAAGAGATTTTTTTCCCAATGAACTGCTGCTCCCTGGATCTTTCCTGTTCTTTGAAGCATTTTCTGTAAACCCTAGAGACGGTTGTGTGGGGAAATCCCAGCAGATCAGCAGTTTCTGAAACACTCAGATCAGCCCGTCTGGCACCAACAACCGTGCCACATTCAAAGTCACTTAAATCAGCTTTCATCCTCATTCTGATGCTCGGTTTAAACTTCAGCACATCGTCCTGACCATGTCTACGGGCATAAATACATTAAGTTGCTGCCATGTGATTGGCTAGTTCAATATTTGAACTAAAAGCAGTTGAACATTATATTTTAATTTCAACATTTAAATTTTTTATTGAATTTTATGCTTGGCGAGGTTAGAATTAACTAAAAACTAAAACTAGATGTAGAAAAAACTTTATTTAAATTAAAATATGAATAAATATAAGAATTTGGGGGAAAATTAAAACTAACTAAAACACTTTTGTTAACTTGAAAAGCTAAAATTGAGTTAAAATAGGGAAACGATCCTTAGTTTCAGTATTTCTTAGTCACTGATGGACGCATTTATTGAGACTCCGGATGTCTACTAAACTGCTTTCAAAAAGTTCTGCATTTTTATTGTAATACCTTTGGTCTTTTTCCTGAATCCTGCCTCTGACATATGCCCTGCAACTAAAAAGACTAAAATTAATGCTGAAAATACTAAATAAACAATTAAAAAAACAAGTAAAACTAAGCATTTTCAATAAAAACTAAACCAAAACAAGAAAATCCACTCTAGAAACTGAGTTAAAAAAAACAAAAACTCAAAACGAAATAAAATTAATAACTACGTAGAAAATACAAAACTAGAAAATAAAAAACTGTGATAACTCTGGTAGATTCATCGCTATTAAGATGTTTTGGTTTGGGGGGTTTTACAATATATAAAAGAAGTTTAAAGGAAATGAGTTTGTGTTTTATGTTCAATTCAACACAGAAATTTCGATGGGACCTCTTGTTATGCAGAGCCTGTGCACAATGCAGCAGTCACATGATCAGAATCACATGTCTGAAACTGCTCTGCTGCCCAACTGACTCTTTTTCTATGCAACACAAAGCATTGTGCCACTGGGAGGTTTTTAAAGCTGAGTATGCAAAGGTTTAACAAACCCAAACCAGAAACAACATCAGTGTTTATTCAATGAATTTTTAACAACCATATGTTGACACTGAGAACTGTAATCGCACAGAAGAAACATTGGCTCACATTATTAAAATAAAGAAAAAATATATATTTTTAGTGTCCGGCTGTCCACATTTTTATCCATTTTTTAAAAATAATGTGTTATTGATTTATATTAATTTAAGTGATTTCTATGTAATAAGTAACAACAACGACATCTTTGAAATCAAGATTTTCCTTTTTATTGAAAACTTGGCCAGGATTCTGTACAGCAGAGAGGGTGTGCAATGCACAGGGGCAGGAAGACGAGGGAGCAGGGGGCTCTAAGGACTCAGTTTCCCATGGTGCATCATACCCTGAGCTGAGAATCGTGTGTGTAAAACAGTAAGAGACACTCTGTTCCCTCTACTGTGTCTCAGAGGTCTGTGGAGGGGAATGAAGCGAGGGACTAAAAATAAAAATAAAAGAAGAAAAGGGAGGAAAGCAAAGCTCAGCCCACAGGGGAGAAAGAGAAAAGTAGAAACAGAGAGGAATGGAGGGTGGTCTGATGGTTTTGTGGTCCAGCTGGCCCTTCCACTGAGGTGTTTTCTCCAGTCAGGGGCAGACATAGATCCTCACCCTTCCCCTCACTGCATTAGATCAAAGACCTTCTTAAGGCACTAAGGTAAAGGCCTCAGACGTCTCTCCCCCTTTCCCGCTTCCTCCGCCCCTCTCCCTCACCTCCGCTTTTTCTCTTTCTCTCCTTCCCTGAGCCTCACTTGCTGGCCATGGTGTAGCAGCCCTGTTGGTGCCACTGCATGTCACGGATACGCCTCACAGACTGGAACTGAGGATGGCGGGCGCCATATTCATTGAAGTGCCTGTATTCGCCCTTCTCCAGCAGGTACTGGCTGCCACGGTATCCAGGGAACTGGTATCCCACAAAGCTGGGAAAAAAAGATGAAACATGTCAATTTATTTGTTTTTATGGCCTTTAAATTTGGTATTTAAGCTCCACTGATGCTTGACACTCACGTTCCACAGCTGACAATGATGCTGCCCACTCTGTCGGTGAAGCCATAGGAGAACAGGCTGGGGACGTCATCGTCCATGATCTCCATCTTGCGGCCCTTGAACTCTCCAACCTCATACAGGCAGATCTTGTGCTTCTCGGGGTCCTGGAACATGGGAAAATAGAGGGAGACAGAGGTTTTATTTAGAGGGGAGTCTAAAGAGGAAAAAAAGTGACGTTTTAAAGAAATAGAAGATTTTTACCATTCTGACGGGCCTGAAGGACAGCAGGTAATCGTTCTTCTGGCAGTTGCTCCAGGAGTCCCAGCGGGGATACTCTCCCTTCTCCAGGATGTACATCTCACCGCAGAAGTTCATCTGCTCGAAGCCCACGAAGCTGCGGACGAGGAAGCGTCATGAAGCAACCAATCTCAATCTTAGATGCACAAACACAAGTGTATTTCATTTGACACTTACGGTCCACATTCAACACGCAGGGAGCGCACGCGGTCCATGCCCATCTCACACACATTCATGCACTCATTGCTGATTTCGATCATGCGACCCTGGAAGTTCTCCTGGTCGAACACGTACATCTGGAGGAAAGTAATACGTTAGAACAACATCAGTAAGGGTCTGTGATGTGAATTTTTTCAGCGTAGCCACTGTTATCTGTATCTGAAACAGGAGAGAACCACCCACCTTGTAGGACATCATTCCCATCTCAGACTTCTTGCTCTGGGCAGCCTTTCCGTCAGTCTGGGAGGAAGTCTTGGATTTATCTCCGCTGGACATGATTACTGAGTGGAAAGAGAAACGGGAGAGATAGGGAGAGATTGTTTATTCGTGTGATAAGTGCAGCCTTTTGTATTGCCACGAGATTGTTGAGGAACTCAAATGAATTAAAGGTAAAGGAAAGCTTAAACCTAATCTATGCCCTTTCCGCTTGCTGCTGGACCTCCTGCTGGCGTGTGAGCATGTACCTTACCTGTGTGTGCGATGCCTGTGCCGAGCCTCACTCAGAGTGTGTGTGGCTCGGAGTGCGCCCCTCGCTTTTATACGCTGGCGCACATAGGAGAGGGATTATGGGAAGAGAAACAAACTCGCTGAGGTCAGAGACAAGAGACAAAAGAAACCCCACATCATCAGAGAGGGACGGACCAAGGGTGATGGGGATGGGCAGAGACAGAGGAGGACAGACACCAGCTGGAGCACAGACTGGCCAATTAAAAAGTAGTCAGGTTTAGATTTCAGACAGTTTCGTCTTCTGTCTCCCCTTGAATGCGTGATTTAAAATAAAACCAAGTTCCCCAGACTGTAGGAACAGAATGTATGAAGAGTAAAAATGTGTAAGCTGTTTTATAACCCTGACTGAAAACTATAAAACAAAGCAGCCCTTTAAATAAAGTGTCAGATGTGTATTTATGCTTTTTAAAGGTTAATTACTGTATGATGTATACAACCTTTTCATGTCCCACAGACAACAACTGGCAACATAACAACAGGCTGCACAATCTAACCTGACTTTGAATGAATAGGTGTTTAAACTGGGATGTAACTGGAAGGTACCAGTTACACTGTGTTTTACTTGTCTGTCTGACTGGTAATTTAGGTCAAACTTCCTGATCATTAGGGTTAAGCAGCTTCAATTAGATGCTACTAATTAAACAAGAGAAAACGTAAACCTTTTCCACTTCCATTTCTGTACACTCGTTCACACCGACCCAGTTAAAACTTTATGCGTGGCTCTCTGCCGCGCCGTTAATCCCCACATTTTCCGCCCCGATCCCGACCCTTTGTGCGCGGGGCACGCGCTGGACTGCTGACCGGGGTCCGAACATACTGGAGAGGCTTTTGTTTCCGAGCCTCGGCAGCACTTTAGGATCTGCTGAGCTAGACGCTGGAGGGGGACAACAGCGTCCAGAGGCCACACAGCAGCTCCGGCGGCGCGCGCATGGTTACTGTGTCAAAACGGAGAGCTTGCATGGTCCGAAGCGTACGCGCGAACGCGCAGAAGTAGGCGCGCTCCCCGACCGTCGATATAAAACTGAAGCGCCAGGTTCTCTGAAAGCTCTACGCGAGGCAGGCGGTAGGCGCGTACCACTCCCGAGCTCTTCCAATAAAGTGCCATTCTAGGTAAGGCTGCATCTCTGCTTTCAGCTCAGCTCAGGGTCCGACAGACAGGTGGTGCTTTCACACAGAAACTGAAATCCAAAAGCACTTTGTGACACCTGTGAAACACTTCTGTTGCTGTCAGTCAGATTGTAAAAAATATATATATATTTGCTTTAAAAGTGTGAATTAGCTGTTCATGGCCAGACCACCCTTCAAAT